ACCAGTACACTGCAGTTTCGACCTCGCATTGGTCTTATCAACACCCTCAGCTCAACTCATATCATTTGTGGGAAAATTCTACTTCTGCCAGTCCTTCATCACCTTAAACGAAATTTGGTGAATACATCTCATATTACTGATTTACTGGTAGTCACTTAATTGGAAAAAATAAACAATTGTGGTATCTCCCCTATTTCATCCTATCATACCTACACTATTACAATTTTTACTGTGTTTATTTAGATAGTGTGGTGTGTTCCTTTGAGCGACATGAAACCTTCACACTTCAACTGTCGTTTACACCCCCCCCTTCATCCTTGAACAGGGAATGTTGATCAGAGTCTGCGTTATTATTATTATGCAGTCCTCTTTTCTAGTCTTAGCACAGTCTCTCTCTTGCTCCGTAAAATCCGTCTGCTCTACCCTTCGTTCACCTATTTCACTCGACTCCTGCCACCACATCTGCCCTACTCGAGGCGTCATTCGCCCCCCACCCCCCTGCGTCTGGGTGACTAATTCGAGGCGCAAGCCTCTGAGTGTCATGGTCACCCCTTTGCTACATGTACCATGGCTCTGGGATCAACAGACCTATCGTCAGCCAACTAGCTCCGGTCCCCGCCGTCTCTATCCTGTTTCTATCCCAGGGCGGAAGGGGAAGATACCACAACTGTTTAGCACACGTTTGGTCAAAGGATCGGCTTCACTTGTCTCTTTGACGAGTTGTTGTATGGTGCTAATAATGGTGATGCTCACTGACGATGCCGGCGAAACGTTTGGGAATGTACCATGTCCACTGTTCAACTTTGGAAATGATCATGCAGACAGTGGACTCCGGACTAGGTGCGTTCCTCTAAATCGTCCTACCAAATTGACCAAGTTTCGAAAACAAGGTCAAACAACGGAAGGAGACTGCGACCACACAATCTTGGTCTTCATATTTTTGATTAATTGTTAGCAATTTCAAAATATTGAGAAATATGGTGAAGGACCACCATTATTTTGCACAAAGCAGGTTCCTAATGCTGCCATCCTGCAAGTTTTCAAGAAAGATAAGCGAATTATTGATGAACTGGAGCGTCAAGACAATGTTTAAAAAAATAAAAACGCTTTCCTTGATGATGCCTTTTTTTAGAGAATCTTTCGACACCCTCTGCAGATCAGGTTGTTATACGATGTTGTGCTCATGTGGTAGTGTTTATGTGGGGGAGACTTGTCGACCCATACATAAGAGGCTATGAGAACACAGAACCGCCTGCAAAAGTTTGTGGATTGATAAATCGGAAGTGGCTGAACATGTGGTAGTTACAGGACATTAGATAGAGTGGTCTAAATCCCAACATTTTGCCGGATATGGGGATTTCACAGAAAAGCGGAAGATGAGGAAGATAGTCAATTGGAATTAATAAAACGAAGAACATCCTGAATAGGAAGAACGAATGTAGGAAACTAAGTAAGAAATATCTCTGGCTGCTAAATAGAACGAGAGAAAGAGAGAGAGAGAGAGAAGGAAAGGGAACAGGAAGAGGCGCTGAGTAAGAGGAGAAGACTAGACTAAGCTGGAGCTCGTTTTTGCGACTAAAATTGTCAACCAACTCTGGGTTGATAGAAGTGGGCTTTCAGCAGAACGTTTGTCGAGGGATTGGCTTCACTTGTCTCTTTGACGAGTTCGTTGCTTGGTGCGGCGAATGGCAAAACTGACTGATGATGCCGACTACAATGCCGGCGAAACGTTTGAGAATGTACCAAGTCCACTATCAGATGCTGGGAATG